CCCGGGGTGCGGGGCTGCTTGCCCGCACCACCGCGCCAAGCCACAACAGGGGGCTGCACACACACACATTCACCCCTCAGATTTATTTAAAACACTTTTGGAAAAAAAAAAGAAGCCTTTATTAACTCCTTAACGGAAGAAATACACATGATGTCTATCTTTTTAACATGTAACTTCTACAGGCTTGGCTTGCCACCAACATTGGCAATTTTAATCCCTTGTGTTTCAGTCAGAGCAACATGGAGAAAAAAAAAAAAGAAACATGAACTTCATGTCTAGACCTGCCCCTTTTCCTCCTTGCAAGAGGCATCTTTGGAGGACTTTGCTCCCCAGCCAGGAGTTTCACTGCAGTGCCTGCAGTTCCTGTTCATAATGCGCACCCAGAGATTATTTTGCTGTCAGTAGTGGTGCACAATACGTGAAAATATCCCCTCCGGCTCTTTTCCGTCTCCAAGGGCAGCAAGGAAGCCTTCTTGCCTCCTCCTCTCGGCTAAAGCAGCTAGGGCCTTGAATGTCTTTGGCTCATAAATAGCTAAATCAGCAATCATCTTCCTGTTGAGCTCCACCTGCGACTAAACATGAGGCAAATTGTTAGTCGCGTACAATAATCTCTAAGGATTTTGCTGAAATTGCTGTATTCCTGTACAAAATCTCACATTTTAAAACATTATCTTTTTTTCTACATGTTACAATTTTGAAATAGAAAACTGTGATGACAATCATGCCACATTAAGCCGTTAGGTTAAAGTCCCTGAAGCAGAAGAAAAGAACAGAAAAAAAAAATCCTTTCTATCACAAAAGACTGCGTGTTACTACATGCATATTTTTACATTTCTTCAACTAAAAGAAAGGGAGCTATTGTTCAATACCTGTGGTAGCAACAGATGCAAGATCATCTTACAAGAAATTACTTCAGTGGACTGAATCTCTTTATGGAATAAATAACAATAGCCTCATTCTTAAAAATAAGCAGGAAAAAACTGGGGGAGAGAAGAGGAGGAAGGGGTGAAGCCATGTTCACCAGAGTAAAAGGGGATTATGCATATTAGAGACAGCTTATTTCCTGGAGCAAGTGAAATTCCTGCCATAAGCAGTATAACACTGAACATCACTAGAACTGGACGTTTTCGAGAAACAGAGAAATGGAAAAATCCATTTGTCTGACATTTTAGAAGATCAATATCAGACATTTTGTCCAACTTGTTTCAAAGTATTTTTTTTTTCAAGCCTCACTCTTACCTTAAGCAGATTGCTTATAAAAGCTGGGTATTTCAAACCATGTTCAAGAGAAGCTGCTTCAATCCTTGTGATCCAGAGCTGACGGTATAAAAAGTACAATTTTGGATGATGCAATATTATAAAAGTTTTAGTTATGTTGATATGCTTACACTTCATAAATAAAACAATCTTCTCAGTACAACATACGCTCCTATAGACTTCAGCATGTGACCTTTGTCATACCACAGAAGGACTATGCTTGCTTCTAAATTCATACCACTATTTTCCAAATGTTTTTTAAAAATATCTTGTGAGATCACCCCTCATTTTCAAGGAAAAATGGCTATTTCAGTTCCTTTACTGTTTATCTGTTCTTTACCGCTCTCAGGAATCTCTTCTTTTCTTTCCTGGCCTTTGTAGCCTTCACAAAAGCTCTCCGAACACTCCGTACTGCCAACTTGTAGCAGCGGTTCTTCCTTCCCCGAAAATGCTGAAACAAAAACAAGATGTTCTGGTTCAGTTATCTTTACAACTGTTAATCCCTTTGATGATATTGATATACGTTCCTTTGCATTTCTCTGCAGCCTTTCTCAAGAAGAATCACAAAATACTTCAAAACCATCAGTTAGGCCTTCAGTTGGCACGCAATGCAAATATTTTTTTCCTCATTTTACAGCATGAGGGCAGCAGCAAAATCCCCATCAGTGCTTGCTACCAACCCCTAAGCTCAGGTATTTATCTGCACTCCTGAACCTCCTCCAGGACCAGCACTGTTACAGCAGGCAGCGTACGCACCACAAGACTAAAATACTCTTGATTTTAATATTTTTCTTCCCTTGCTGCAGGAAGGGGCATTGCTACCCGCACACCGACCCTTCGCCCTTGAGAAAGCCTAGGTGCTATAGCGGGAAATTCACCTCAAGTCAAGCTGTGAATAAGTGTCTTTCACATTTTAAAATTAACTTGAAAACAATATATATACAAATGTATTTGGTGCTGTTCTGTCCAATTAAAAAAAAAAAAGCGGGGGGAAAGGGGAGAAAAGTTGCCAGTTTGCAGCATGCCATCCTGCCAGGCTGCCCTTCCCGCAATGCTTGTATTTCTTCCCGAAACGGGGTCGGTTACATTTCTTTGCATTTATTTCCATGCATGCACACACCGTGTCACAACAGACATGCCAGCCGCGCCTTTTTTGCCCGTATTTCGGCCCAAAACGGACAAACACCCGCACACAGACCGCGGGGGGTCACCCCGCGCGGATCCTCACGCACCCCCCGCCCCGGCACCCCCGGCTGCAGGGCCACTCACCCGCGCATGTTTGAGCAGGTCCTGCACCCTCCAGAAGCGGTCGGAGAGGCGGTTGCGGAGCCAGCGCGGCGCGCTCAGCAGCACCATGGCGGCCCGGCCCGGCCCTCACGCGCCCACGGAGGCGCCGCTTCCGCGCGCGCCGCTTCCGCCCGCCATGATGGAGGCGCGTGTGTGGAGCGGGGCCGCGCGCCACGCGGGCACGCCAAGAAATTAAAAATAAAAATAAAAACGTGTGTGTTCATTAAAAATGTCTTTTGGTTGCGCGTGGTGTTCACAGCAAGGGGACGTGGGGAGTGCGGCTCGCTCGATGCCGAAAGCTGTGTGGGGTGCCCGGGGGATTTCGGGGCTGGCCACATCTCCTGGTGCCCTCGTGTCCCTTAGAGACCGCACAGAATGAAATGGAAGTTACGAGCTGCAACGAACCACAAGAGGGTGCCGGGCTGCCGCCACAGCACCGAGAAACCGCTCCAGAAAACGCACACTTATCAAGACATCCCTCCCATTTAAGGGAATTTACTTGTGAGGGATGTGGGATTTTTATAGAACTGGAGGTTCGGGGAATCTTTGTAACTGCCACTGACATTCGATTTTAATTTAGCTTGCTTATTAGAAGAATCATCTCAACGTGTGTGTTTTTTCCCAAAAGAAAACCAAGTTAAAAGTTTTCCGACCTCCCATATGTTAAACTGCATTTTCATTTACGTAACAGATGCTTAGAAAGCTTCACTGGATTTAGTTTTAGCCTTCTTAGTTATTTTTAAAAATGACATGATATTTCTGCTTGCCTGTTAACGCCTGTTAACACCTTTTTCACGGTGGCTTTTCCAGCTAGAAAAAGGTACCCTTAGTTACCAGTCTTCAGTATTTCACTCCCTATACTTTTCCACTTAATTTACTATCAACTGCTCATGCTGCTCCTAAGTGGCTTTGATGCATAATACTGAAGGACCAACTTTCCAGGTTCTTTGTTTTTTTCTAATTTTGATCATGCCTCTGACCTGCCAGGAGGCTGGAAGGTTTTCTAAGCATCTATTGCTGGAGAGCAAGGAGATCTCCTGCCCTTCCTCTCCACATTGTGCTGGATCAATCCTCTGTTGATCTTCGCAGAGAATTCCTGTTCTCTGTAATTACCTGCGAGTACAACCCAGTGAGCCTGCTAAGATAGAAACAGTTCTTCAGGACTGTGAAAAGTCCAGAAAGCCTCTGTGCTTTGAGAAATTAGCCAACTTTTGCAGACTTTCATTTCTGCAGTGTGAATTCCCAGAATAAAAATCACAGAGAATGAATTGTCAGTGCTGACAGCCTGTGCCCAGCAGTCGGTTTGCCATGAGCCAAAGCAGGATATATTCTTTGTATGAATCATTGGAGCATCTTTGTGCCACATTTATGGAAGGTAGAAGTGCAGTGCAATGTAACTGCACGTTCGCTTTCTGCAACAGTGTGGAAGAAGTAACAGGAGAATAAAGTGTGTGAAAATATAAATAAGCCAATACAGGCTGAAACAGGGTTAGTATTCCAGAGATGCTCCCATATCGCACATTGGAATGATAATATGATGCACATTTTCTGCTTGTGTCCTTTATGGGAGAGTTTTGCCTCTTCCCTTTGCAGGCATGGGTTTGCAGGGCTCACGCTCCATGCACAGATGTTTGCTAGCTGCAGCATAGCAGTGTTTACAGAGAAAGCTGGGGGTGGTGTCTAGAAAAAAACGTATCAGAAAAGTGTTTTCAGAGGTTTGTAGAAGAAGACAGCAACAGCTGGGGTGTATTTTTTTAGCATATCTAACCACTATCTTGGAATATTGTGCAAACAGTGAAGCTTTGCATCCCCTGAGGCTGCAGAGTGCTCCACATTTCAGAGAACCTCTGCCAAACCTCTGGCGGAAAACAGCCAGCGAGAAGAGGCCACTAAGGCAGCTACTTGGAGGCACCGTTCAGACTTCGGGAATGCCAAGGGAAGCAGTTGATTCTCCACCCCTGGGGTTTCAAAGTCTGTGTGAGACAAATATCCAACTGGAAGGAAGAACAGGTTCATTCAGCCTGGGACACTCCAGACCTCTTCCTGCCTTATTTTCTCTGGTGCCTTCCGCTGTGCTGTCCCTGCTGTCAATAAATCATGACCCCGTGTCCCTTTGAAGTGTGTTGCTGTCCTAACAAACCGAACAATCTCCATCCTCGTGTGCCAGTGAGGACAAAGTCTGCGGCACAGCTCTCAAGGCCTGGGATGCCCGGCAGGGGATGTGCCCTTTTCCTCGGGCTTTCTGCCGTCTTCTCCTTGTCCCGTGCTCAGTTTTCAGCCTGGTATCTCGCTAAAGCATCTGCTTTTGACTCCCCTCTCTGGGCCTGCATTTCACAACCCCCTTCAAAAGTTCCCCAGCACTAAACTTCAAGCAAGTGCTGGCTGAGTCCAGCTGGAAAACAAACATCCTTATCTCCTGCAGTGAGCTCAGCCGTGCAGCGTGTTCGGAAAGCGTGGCCAGTCAGGTTTTACTGCAGCAGTACGTGGGAAGCGGGGACGAGATCCAAACTTGTACAAAGCGCTTTTGGAGAGCTGGTTTCTCCTCGGGGATGGCATTCCCCGATCTTGGCCCAGGGATGGGGAAAGTTGGTTCCCAGCAGCGTTGGGGTCAGGTGCTTGTTACAAAGACCCTTTTGCTTGCGGGCCCCAGCTGCACTTTGCGCCGCCGCGAAGAGCGGAGCGGGCAGCTCCTTTGGGAGCGCGTGGCTCCGCGCAGGGCAGCTGCAGCAGCCGGACACGCTGCTTGTAAAATCCCCCCTCTGCTTTCCAGTCCCAGCTGGAGCCCAGATACTGAGAAGCCTGAAAAATATTAGAAGTGGGGAGAGGAAATCAGTCAGTCAGACTTGTCCAGACCACAAGGTTTTTGGTTCAGGTTATGGGGAAAGGTTCATCCAGTCTCCTCATTTGCTTCCTATTAATAATGCGCTACCCTGTGTGCTACAGCAAGGGACAGAGCAAGCAGGGAAAGGCAGACAAAGCGTCTTGCCTTGCTATATTTAAGGATCTGATACGATCAAATAAGGGTGTGGATAATTTTGTTATTTGTCTAGTTTGTTCCCAGTAGCTGAGCATGGCTCTGTGCCTGCCTGTCTGCAGGGACCAGACCATTCTTGTTAGCACTTGGCAAATCAGTTTTCCATGAGGCTTGCAAAGATACCATGGGTGGAACCCATCCCAGCTTCTTTGTTTCACTGATTATGGACTTTTTGAAGATGGGTTTTTTGGTGCCTCAGTCCCTATCTAGAGGATTTAACTCCTTGTAATTTTGTGCTGTAATTTTAGGGTTGTCTCACCAAGACGGCAGCAACTGAGAGCAGAGCTTGCTACTACATGTGAAGGGAAGAACAAATTTTCGAGTAACAGAATCTCCCTCATTTCCACCTAAGGCAATACTTTAGTTCATGGTTATCAATGACAAAAACATAATCCTCATCCCAGCATTGCTGCCAGCTTCATAATCAAGGGGTTTAGTGCAAAAAGCAATTATTTAATTTTTGTTTGTGGGATCAAATAAAGGTCGCTCCCAGGTCAATGACACTGGTGTCCTTGTGTGTCTCTCTGTGGGTGTTTGTGATGGACAAATAATGCACAATCCAGACTCCTTTGTAGTTTGCTGAGTGCTTTGCAATGCACAAAAACATGCTGAGTG